TGTATTGGTTATTGGTTGCTGTCATTTTGATTACTGTTTGTGTTCTCTGTCTAATTTTGTGTTTCCTTGATTATATGTTTACTTATTTTCTTTCCTTCCACCTGGGGTATAGTTGTTTCTCTCTCTGCCCTGTGTATTGCTTCAAGTATTATTTGAAGGGTGGTTTTGTGAACAGTATTCTTTCAGGCTATTTGTGTCATGGAAGATTTTTCTTTCCCTTTCAAATATAACAGACAGTATTCTGGGTAAAATATTCTGGGTTGGCATCTATTGTCATGTAGAAGTGTAAATACCTTGGACCAGACTTTTCTGGATTTCATAGTTTGCATTGATAAGTCAGCTGTAATTCTGATGTGCTTTCCTTTATATGTGACCTGTTTTTCTTTTGCTACTTTCAGTATTCTCTTTTTGTTTGGTACATTTAGTTTTTTTGTTATGATGTCGTGTGGAGTTTCTTTTCTGATCCTGTCTATTTCATGTTCTATTTGCTTTCTGCATTCGTATGGGGATTTGTGTCCCCAAAGATCCTGGTTCCTTGGAGTGGTGGGGCCTGCTGCAGAGAATTGACTGTGGAGAGTTAGCTGAAGAGGAAGAGGCTTTTGTTGCCACATTGGAAGTAAGAAGCACAGCCAGGCATGCAGAAAAAGGATGGCCCTGTTGTCTGTGCCTGAGTGGACATGAGAAGGCATTTACCAACCTGGGGTGAGACTGTGGGCCTACAAGGCTTGAGAAAACGCTAATGGTGACTATGGGCAGGGCATGGAAGAAATCTGGGCCAGCAGGCCACTGAGTCCCAGAGCAGAATGGGGCTCTGGGTATCTGCCTTTTATGAAGTTCTGGGTGTTCTCCTTTGTAAGTTATTCCATTTCGCCCTCTACTCCATTTCCCCCCACCCAAGATATAAAATGAAAGATTCAGATAAAAATATTCTGTATGGTTTATCTAATTGTGCCTGGAGGAAGTGACCCTGAAGAGAGTGAGGGCAGGTCAAACAGAGAGGGAAGGAGAAATTTTAATGGGACAGGATGTCTCTCCTCAATTTCTGGAAATTCTCTTCTACAATCCTGTTTAACATCTGGTCAATACCGTTACCCTGAAATTCTTCTCCTTCCTCTATTCCTATGATCTCTAGATTTTGTCTTTTTATGGTATCTCACATCCCTTGCATATTCCATTCCTGTGGGTTTTTTTTTTTTAATTTTCCATAATCTTTGCTTGAGTGGTCTAATTCTTCAACTTTATCCTGCAGTGTTGATATTCTGTATTCATTTCATTCATTCTAGCGGTGAGGCTTTCCCCTGTTGTTTCAAGTCAGCTTATTGATTTTTGTACTTCTTTCTTCATTCTGCCTGAGTTTTCTTCAATGTTTCTGTTTCTTTTGTGGATTCATTCTGAAGTTTATCCCTATCTTCCTTTAGTTCTTTGATTTGTTTGTTCATGTGTTCTTTAAATTCATTGAATTCCTTGATCATGTTTATGATTGTTCTTTTAAATCCATGCCCTGGGGGTCTCTAGGGGTTTCTCCTGTAGAACTCTTCTACAAGATTGGTGGAATTTGGTGGGGGCATAATGTTTTGGCTTTCCATTTTATTCTTCTTTCATTGTGGTTTTGGCATGTGAATTTCTTTTGTTCTTTATGATTCTGGTATAAAAATTAAGTTGAAGTATTCTGTTTGTATTATAGGGGTGCCTAGAGCCTTTCTTTATTGATTATGTAAAGTTGGTTGGTACAGGGTCAGGTCCTCTCAAGTTTAATTTGGAGGAACTGACGGCTTCAGATCAGCTACTCAGGAGAACCCACAGAAGTCCAATTCAGGTTACACTCATGTACACTCAGGCTTTCTTCACTATGTGGAGGCAGGATCTGGGTGCTCTCAGGAAGTCCCCTGAATTCTCAGCTCCCATGAGAGAGGGCAGCCAGAGGGAGGCCAGAACTCAGCACTCTCTGGCCTCCTACTGAGATCACAGCCACTACAACAATGGAGGTTCAATCTCACTCTTTCATGCTGTCTGCTAAAATCTCAGCCTTAGCCTACCAAATCCAGATCTACCCTGGAGCTTGAGAGGGGCCTCACAGAATCCCAGGTAGGGGGATGCTTATGGCAATTAGGGGAAGCTCACCACCACATAGAGGCAGGATCTGGGGTCTCTCAGGAAGTCCCTTGCATTCTCAGGCCCTCTGCCAGAGGGAAGGCAAAGGGAAGCAAGAACTTGTGCACTCTCTAGCAGACACTGATGGAGGTCACAACCCATCCTCTCAGGCTATCTGCTAGAATCTCACCCCTAGCATACCAAAGCCTGATCTGCCCTGGGATCTTGGGAGGAGCCTCACAAAAATCCCAAGTAGAGGGGTAGGTATGGCAATTAGGGAAAGCTCACTACCATGTAGAGGCAGAACCCTGGGTTCTCAGGCAGTTCCCTGCATTCTCTGGCCCTCTGCCAGAGGGAGGCCAGAGGAAGGCAAGAACTGAGCACTCTGGTGGTCTGCTGAGATCAGAGCCACTACACCGATGGACATCAGAACCCAGGCTCTGAATATTTGAAATTTTAACATAAAATGAAATTACAGAAGTCTAAAAAGTACTACAAGGCCCAAAAATTATTCAAAACCTACAAGAACGCTCTCTGTTGACCATTAAAATAGTCTGCCCATATTCACAAGAAAAAATATTGCAGAGGAAGATATAAAGATGATATTAACATATAATTAAAATATTTTGGTTGTGTATTT